AGCCCTGCTGGCAGATTGCTAGTGGAGGAGAAAGGATTGTCCTGACCCTTGGCGGGCATGACTAATGTTTGTGATGTGGTCTGCTTAACAAAATAGTTCACAAAGTGAAAAAAAGGTTTTTTCAATATAGGGAAAACTTACGTAATAAAAAAATAGCAAATTTTTGTATAGTTGTATAATAGTTTTGTATTTTATGCTAAGCATTAGTACATGAATCAAGAAGTAAAAAGGTTATAGTAAGCTGAGATTTATTTATTATTGAAAAAAAGCAGAAAATGTCCCTCTTTTTAGAATTAGGAATTAAATTCAGAGCCTCAGACATACTAGGAAGCTATAGCCCCTAATACCTCTAAAATTTTTTTTACTTTGAGACAGTGTTTCAGTACATTGGCCAGGCTGGCCTCCAATTTATGTCTTCCTGCCTCAGCCTTGCTAGTACAGACATGGGTCACCACGCCTGGCTAATAGAAGTATTTTATATACATTTTGTGTAGCCTGAGTGTATCATGTATATAAGTGTACAGTGCTGTACAGTAATGTCACATTTACTCACCACTCTGCCACACCCAGAGCAACTTCAGGCCTGTAAATCTCATTCATAGTAAGTGCTGTACCTGCTGTACAGGTGTTTTGATTTTTTTTAAACTGTGTTTCCGCAGTTTTCAGTTTTGATATGTTTCAGTGCAGTAGTACACTGTGGAAACCTGGGCTCGGCGTAGACCACCAGATGTACAGGTGTAAGTACTCATGCGAGTCTCATACTGAGGAAGTCAGCTGACACTGCAAGCCAGAACACATTCCATCATTAACTGATGCGGGGGTAGCTATGACAAATGCCCAGCACACTCATCATCAGGGAAATGTAAATGAGCACTGCACTAGATGTCACTTCACACATTATCAAGAAGACAAAGATACCGATGCCAGGAGGATATGGAGATAAGGGAATTCTTGTGTGGTGTTGCTTAGAATGCAAATTAAGACAGCCATCGCGGAAGCCATGTCAGAGGTTCTTTAAAAACTTAAAAATGGAACTTCTGTGTGTAGTCCCACTGCAGACTGTATTTCTGAAACAAAATTGAAATCCAGATGCTTAACAAATATTTGCCCTACATTCAGCCGTATTTATAATGGCCAAAATAGGCCATCAGCCTAAGATCGAATCAGTGGATGAACAGATAGGAGAATGTGGTATAACTCCCAGTGGGTCGCTCCTCACCTTGAAAAAGAAGGCAGCAGGGCCTGTCAGCTGCACCAGCACTGATGGTCATGTGTGGGGTCTTAAAAGGTCTGGCTCCGAGGCGCACACGGTGCTGGTAATTGGAGCTGGTGTGGAGGTCGAAGGGTGTGGAATAGTGACCAAAAATTTCAGTTAATGCAAAATTTTTTCAGTTGAGAAGAATAAAGTTAAAGATTGTATTAGTGTATCACATACTTCAGAGTTGGTGAGGGCGTAGATTGTAAGTGTTCTTACCACAGAAACAGATAAGGATACGAGGCAATGCATGTGTTAATTACCTCAATTCAGTCATTCCAGGATATGTGCATCTGGTATGCAGATATGCTGTCTTTATTTGCAAAGTAAGTAAAATATTTTTTAAAAGAACTACTGTTTTACTTAGGATATACATACATTTTGAAGGTCTTTCCTGCAGTAGTAAAATAATTCTGTTAATCCTAACTGCTGTACATGGATAATATTGACACTGATTTTTCTGTCTGGATTCTTCACTTCTCCTTTGTCATTGGGGCAGTAGGCTACACTATATAATCTAGGACACTGGTGGCAAATCTTGTTGAGGTTCTAACGATACAAACAGGCCACTGTGGCCCTCATGCCACAGGTTTTCCACCCCTGACCTAGGTGTTGCACATTAGCCCATCCTGGTTTTTCATTTTATATTTCTTTGTGGTTGTAAGACCTTTCAATCTTTCCTAAATAACCTGTAGTTCATTGATTAACCTGATTCTCAGTTTCTTTTTTGTGAAAGGGAAGTAGTGAGTCCTACCTTGAAGAGCCTATTGCATGTAGTAGAATGTGATAGAAATTTAGTGAGTGATTGCCACTTACATCTGTATTATTTATTACTCCATTACAAATCAGTAGGTAGCAGAGAGATCTTTGGTATTCAGTTTATAAGATCCCTGTAGTTTTCTGTTCTTTTCGTTCTGACAGGATTTGTGTATTTGTTTGCTTAAGAATTTTATCTGTTTATGTGAACAGTGTCACCATGAGAGGCTTTGTCATTTTCCTGTAGATAGGTTTTTAAGTGTTTAATCTAATGCTATTGCAACAGAGATACTACTTTTGGTCATATATGTGTTCTGTGGGGTTCAGTCAATTACTAATTCAGTTGCCATTTTGGCAAGTATCAAACATTTCGTGGAATTGTGAAGTCCTTACAGTCCAATCTACTGTCTCTTAGCAAGCTGTACAATAAGTCTGATCTAAAAAGCTACAGACCGCAGCTAGATTATTTCATGCTTAGTAAAATGTGAGCGGGACTCCCTAGTGTGCACACCTATTTGATGAGATTTGTATCATGGAAGTTCAGAGAGGGTTGGAATTGATAAATCTGTATTGGTGAGTTTTCCATGTCTTTCAACCTTGCATTGCTTAACAAATATTTAAAACAAAAGCATATATTTATATAGTTTTGTGAACTAAAAAAGTCTTAAGCTTTTTCACTTAAAATTGGAAGGCTTCCTATCTAAAACTCCCTAGTGGATTGTATTATCAGGTCTCTAAAGAGTGGACTATTCTATAGAGTGGATTGTTCTATCAGGTCTCTAAGGAGAAGTCCTTTTGAATTTTATATTAATTTTATACATGATAAAGTACATGGAGGTAAAATAGATTTTTCTCTTTAAGAACTGAATTTTATTTGTTGGAATTTTCATCAGAACATTTTAATTTATGGCTGCCACTGGTAAAGAGTAAAATACTATGCCAAAAACTGAGGGGACAGGTAGTGGGGACTGAACCCAGGGCCTTCATGTGGCCCAGCCCACGTTTTGTATTTTGAGACCGAGTCTCACTAAGTTGCTAAATTGTCCAGACTGGGCTTTAACTTCTGCTCCTCCTGCTTTAGTCTCCCAGAGTACTGAGTTATAGGTGTATACCATGATGCCTAGCTGAGCTTTCTTTTTTAAATGAATTCAATGGTGTGGATTCATTTTACAGTCTTTGTTTTCAGTCCTCCTACCACAATTTAAATGGCATATGTCTGGTGTCATTACCTTTTATACTGTCAGCATTAAGGAAAATTGGAGCCTTTGCAAAATCTGACTTTTCAACATTAATACTGAAAACATAAAGAACTATCTAAAACTTGGGTTTATGATGTCATGATTTGTTTTCTGTTTTTTGTTTTGAATTTGTGGCAATCCTTCTGCCTCTATTTCCCAAGTGCTGGGTTTATATGCATATGTCATTGATGCCATGATTTTTAATTTTTAAAATAGTGGTTCATTATCCTTGATAATGCTATACATGTCCTGTTTTGCTGTACATACTTTCACTGCTGTTAAGTACAGATCAGCAATATGATTGACAGAGGACGTTGTGTTCAGTCCTGTTTGTCATGTTACTTGCATGTGGTTGTAATCAGTCTCTGGGTCATTAAAAGTGTAGCACACCTGCGTTTGTGGAATCATGACACTTTGAATATGAGCTGCAGGAACTTTAATTTTCTGTGTAAGAGACAATGTAGATATCTTAAGTCTAAGACAAAGAACTGATTGAAGTAGATAAATATTCAACACACTGAGTGCCTTGATATAATTAGTTTTTACTCATTAAAAGTAACTATGGTGTAGGTCAGTGGTACAGTGCTTGCCTACCATGCATGTATCTGCTGCAATATCTAGCACCTCACAAAAGAAAAATTGAAGAAAAAAGTTGTGATTCAAAGTGTCTGCTTGTGAAATATTCTTTTGTAAAAATTTAGGATTATAATTTTAAGATACTAAATCAAAATAATTATAATTTTCCTTTGTGAATATTAACTTATTCTAGCAGAATGGAAAAGCATCTAGAATTAACAAAAATTAGGATTGGATTATTTTTCTGTACATATGCTTTCTTTTTTTTTTTTTTTTTTTTCTTGCCAGGCAGGCGCTTATACCACTGAGCTAAATCCCTGGCCCCATATGCTTTCTTTTGAATATGTTCTTTTCATAAGATGTACAAACACTGTTAAATTAATATACATTGTAATTTTAGTGAAGATTCTGTCTTATTCATAAGCTTGGACAATCAAGTTCTTCTGAAAGTATTTTATTTTGAAACTATAACTTAGATGCTGAAATCAATACATTCTGAAAGATTAAATTGGTAAAATCAAAATGATATATAGAGAATATTAGTGACATAATTGTATTCTTTCTTCTTCTCCCATTCCTTAAAATATTTAAAATATTTAAAGTCAGTTTTCTATGTGATTATGATTTTTTTAAGTCCCTTTTTGGAAAGGAGATTTTTTTCTTTCTGATGTTTCCTTGTTTTCACCTTTGTTTCTAAATTACTTATATCCTCAGAATTTAGCAGCCAGTACTTTTACTTAGTAGGTTGACATGCAAATAAGTAGAAGCAGGTAGTCAGTCCCTCAGCAGTCAGATAATTCCAGGAAGTTAGAGGTTTTCCATTGTACCTGCTTCAGAAAAGACGAGAGGGTGCCTTTAAAAGCAGGTTTTTGCTTGTCTGTTATGATAGCACGTGATTTAATATCAGTGCTTTGGGTTGCAAAGCTGTTAAGAAATTGTCTGCATAATGATGGAACTGGCAAGAACAGACAGAAGTACATATGCAGATTGGGGGCAGGCATTTGACTTACATTTCTTTAGTGTCTACAAAATAAAAACTATAGTAGGTTCGTTTTTAAAGATTTTGACCAATGACCAACAAGTGATGGTTCTTAAAAATACTAAGTTCTAAATATGTAGCAATGATAGCATTCCTTGCGGTTGGTTTTTAATTTTCTTGTCTTTCCTCCCTGCAGTGTTTGATGATGGAGATGAGAGAACACTGAGACGGACCTCTCTGTGCCTGAAGGGGGAGAGGCACTTTGCAGAAAGTGAGGTGAGGTGACACACCCGGGGCTGAGGTGGAACAAGAGCTACTGATCTAGAAGCAAAATACAAATTTAGTGTCTCTGTTTCTCACCCAGACGCTTGATCAGCTTCCATTAACAAACCCAGAGCATTTTGGAACTCCAGTAATTGCCAAGAAGACCAACAGGGGAAGGAGGTCGTCACTTCCTGTGTAAGTTTGTCATACATAGTCTCATTATAATGACACTTATCAAAACACAAAACAGAAAAAAATTAAAGCACTGAACACGTGATCTTTCTTTTTTTTTTAAATTTTATTTAAAGAAAGATTAAACAAAACAGAAAATGGGTAGAAATAATACATACATTCAAAGAAAAAAATAAACAGTAAGAAATCATTAGTTGATGTTTACATACTGTCCTCACAAATAGTTGATCAAGATACAAAAGCAGAGCATATAAAGTGGGGATTCAAACAGCAAGACTGCAAACAGCTCTGTTCAGCTATCCAATATAAACTTAATAATATGCTTGTCAATCCTGTACACTTAAACGTACATGCAGTTATCCATATCTTCATTTATGATGGGATTAAACAAACTAAAACAGGCTAAAATCATTCTAAACAAAGAATAATAGTATTGCTGGATTTCTCATCATGACACTCTGGGATCAGCACTGAGTACTGTAATGTCTTTTTAAATTTTATTTAAAGAAAGACTAAAAACAAAAGGGGTACAAATAGTACATACTTTCAAAGAAAAAAACAGTAAGAAATCACTAGTTGATTACAAATTGTCCTCTTACAAATAGTTATTCAAGATACTAAAGTGGAGCATATAAAGTGGGGATTCAAGCAGTGAGACTGCAACCAGTTCTGTTCAACTATCCAACAAAAACTTAGAAATATAGTTATCAATCCTATACATTTAAATATTCATGCAGTTATCCATATCTTCAATTATGTTGAGATTGAACAAACCCAAGCAGACTAATATCACTCTGAACAAAGAATGATACTATTGCTGGGTGTCACATTGTGACATTCCAGGATCAGCACTGGGTACTTTAGTGTCTTTTTTTAGTCAAAGTATCTGTTCATTTCATCATGTGTCATAAGATCAGTTCCCATAAACTGTTTTTAGGTTCTGCACATGCATGAGTCTTAACATGTATTGCTATCCTTTCTATATTAGAGGGAGAAACAAAACAAAGCAAGACAAAACAAAACATATTCCTATAAACACATGAAATGAAAAAAACATATAAAACCGTTGTACAAGGAGTTCTACTATAGTTCCTGTGTTGTCTCTTGTTATCTTCAATAGAATATCATCAATTATACTATATCATCAGACATAGTGTAACTGAATATATCAGTACATAACAGTATTAATAGAAACACAACTTGGTATATAGTATAAAACTTCAAAAAACAGTCAGTAATTAAACCATAATATTTATCGTAGAGAGTCTTGTCCTCTTCAGTGTAGTTGCCTATACACTTAGATTTGATACTGTCAGTCATATCAGTTTTGAATAAAATCTGTCGATACCAAACAGCAATCAAACAAATGAGATTTAATTAGATCAGTCATGATAAAACAGTATAAGTCATACAGGGCTCCAGATAAAGTTAATAGAAAATTAAAGATGATTACTGTGCTATATCAACAGGTGATCTTTCTAAAATAGCTAAGTGTGATCAGGTAACCTTTTCATGGGTTCTTGTATTTTTATATTAGACATACACTTAGATACACTTAGTGAACCTAGTCTTAGTTATTGCCATTATCTTATCCAGGAATTGTCACAACTCATCTTTCAGGAGGGCTACTTTTGTTTTAAGTTACTCTGGCAAAGTCCATTATTAATACGATGATTTTCCATTTTAAGTGAGGCTTTTTTTTCACTTTTTTTACTGGTTTTCAAAATTTTTTAAATTTATTGTGGTGTTAGGAGGTGAACCGGGGCCTTTGCACTGAGCCATATCCCCAGTCCTTTTTATTTTACTGTTTTATTTTTGAGACAGCATCTCCTTAAGTCTCCTTCAGTTGTCTGTGGGAGGCTCAAACTTAGAGTCCTCTTGCCTCAGCCTCCCAGAGTATATAAAAACATTTCAAAAACCTAAAATTCTCAACAGTAATAGAATGAATTTCCACATGTTCTTTATCTAGATTCACTAATTTTAACTTTTTTGGTATATTTGCTTTATCAATCTCTTTATATACATGTGTAGTTATTTTATAGTTTTATTTTGCTAAGCTCTTGAAAACAAAGTGGTAAGCATCATAAAACTTTATCATTAAATTACAAAAATATGGACATGAAATTCAGAAAGTTTAACCCTGGTGAGTACTGTCACTTAACATGTCATTATGTCAGGTTTTGTCAGTTGCCCCAATCACAACCCCCCACCTCGATTCTAGAATCCAGCCTGAAATCGTGTACTGCGTGTCATTTATATAAAGTCATCTGGAAAAGTTCTTTAGCCTTTTTATTCTTTTTTTTACAACAGTGACAGTTTTGCATGGTTAGGGTTAGGGACGGGCTGTTTTGTAGACTTCATGTGGATTCAGCTGATTGCCTTTTCTTTTCTTTTCTTTTTTTTTTTTTTCCGGTGGTACCAAGGATAGAACTCATGACTTTGCGCTTGCCAGGCAGGTGCTTACTCCACTAAGCTGAACCCCAACCCCTGCGTTTTCATTATTAAGCCCAGCTCGTGCATTTTGATACTAATAACTACGTAAGCGATGTTGGGTCTTTCTGGGTGCAAGCACACCAGTAAGGTTGTGGTACTAGTTTGCTCCATGATTGGTGATACTTTGATTACCTGGTAGAAGTAGTTAGTTTGCCAAGTTTTTGAATCTCAAAATTATCCTTCCCTTTGTAATTTACAAGTAACCTGGTAATATTTTGAGGCTATTTAAATGCCCTGTTCTTAGGGGCTGGGGATTTAGCTCAGCGGCATAAGCGCCTGCCTTATGAGTGGGTTGGATCCCTGGTACCAATAAAATAAATAAATAAATACCCTATTCTTTATCAGAATTTCAGTGATTTTACTATTTGTTGATAAGTTGCCTAAATAAGTTAGTACTGATATAGCAAAGCTACTGTAATGACTTTCTAGTCGTTTATTCCTGCTACCTATGTTAGTTGTGGAACTATAGGCTTACAATCAATACTTAGTGTTTACACTTGAGCATAAAGTTATTTCAGATACATTATCTAAATAAACCGTCATATGTGTTTGGATTAGATATTTTCATGCCTTGTTAGATAAAGCATTATCTGGTGTCTGACCTTAATAAAATGAAGGACAGTGGTCAAAAGAAAAAAGATACTTGGCATTTAAAAAATAGAAGGCAAGTTGTTAAAAGAAAGAAAAGAAAGTGTATTTGGCACAGTGAGTATGTATTGGGGGTAGAATTAAGCTTTTCTGTCCCAGCTGGTGAATGACAGGAGCACCCGAGACCAGGACTTACTGCTGTGCTGCAGCTGATCCGAGTTTGATAGGCAGCGGAGGGCACTTGTGCAGAACTGGGAAAGTTTCCACTGCCTCAGTTCAAGTCCAGGGGGAGAGGCCACACGAGGAGCTGAGTTGCACATGTTAGGGTCTCGTCAACTGGGATGGCACGTTAGGATAATGATCAAGTCGTCCTGCCTTTCAGTAACGAAGACGAGAAGGAAGAGGAAAGCAGTGAAGAGGAAGATGAAGATAAGCATCGTCTCAATGATGAATTATTAGGAAAAGTTGTGAGTGTGGTTTCCACCCCCGAAAGGACTGAATGGTACCCAGCTTTGGTGAGTAGGGCTTGTTTGCATTGTTCATCAATCATAAAAAGTTGGCTTACCACAGTGGATTTTCTGAAATATTTAAGAGTTTGAAAGTATCACACAATTCTAGTTTGGCCTTGAAGATGTAATAACTGAGAATCGGTTGTACAGAATTGTGTGCTTTGCTCGTTGCTTCATTGTGTGACTGTAAGCATGCCTCAGCCTTGTCGGGTCTCTCTCACCCCTTTTCACTCTGTCCCATTGCCACTTCTCACTTTTAGATTTGCTTAGCTTGGATTCTTTTTTTTTTTTTTTTTTTTGTCTTTTTCCGTTTTATCGGTACGGGGGATGAACTCACGACCGCCTGCTTGCAAGGCAGGCGCTTATGCCGCTGAGCTAAACCTCCAGCCCCGGATTCATTCTTTCTTTCTTTCTTTCTTTCTTTCTTTCTTTCTTTCTTTCTTTCTTTCTTTCTTTCTTTTCTTTCTTTCTTTCTCTCTCTCTCTCTCTCTCTCTCTCTCTCTCTCTCTCTCTCTCTCTGTCTCTCTCTCTCTCTTTCTTTCTTTCTTTCTTTTTCTTGGTACTGGGAATTGAACTCAGGACCTTGCGCTTGCCAGGCAGGCGTTTGTGCCGCTGAGCTTTATCTCCAGCCCCTTGGATCCTTTCTTTAATAAATTCAGACTGCATTTCTAGAACTAACTTGTTAAGAGAAATCCTTTTGAGGTACTGATTTAATTGCAGTAGTCCTGTTCCCAGAAACACTCCTTCCTCAGTACGGTTGGTGACAGACACCTGTAGCCCCAGCTACAGGTGAGAGAATTGCTGAGCCCAGAAGCTAGAGACCAGCCTGGTTAACAGAGTATGTCTCAAAATAAGTGAAGATAAAATAAAATAAGCTTCACTGTGTCTACTGATAATTGATTTTGCACCCTTTAAATGGATATTTCAGGCCATCTCTACTTCATTTGTTTCCTGTTTTCCCTGTAAATTGTACTTAAGTTCTTTTTTCTTTTTTAAGTTTTATTATTCCTAGTGCGTGTCTGTAGTATATAATGATTGTATTCACAGTGGGGAGTCGGTACAGGGACATGCATATCTTAATCAGGTTCTTTCTTCACTCCCTGCCTGTAGCATATTTCACTTTTCTGAGCTCCACCTTGTCCTGAATTGTTAATATTCCTGCAGATCTGCAGGAAGTTTTGCTTTGTTCTGAGTTACCTAGAAGACAATAGTGTGAGACTTGGATAGCGTATTGCCCTCCAGAAGTTAACCATATGCACCTATGAAATTGCACGACAATTGGAGATTACAGAGTAAACTAAAACGAATTTGGTTCAGGCACGAGAATGAACTGGAATAAGTGTTGGGATGAGTTCATCTAGATTTTAAAGAATGCTTTAGAAAAGACAAATTGTAGATGAGTTAGTAGAGAAGTATTCTTTGCTTACATGGAGAAAGAATGAGAAGAGATGGACATTATTTCAAGAGAGCAGTCTAGAGTGCTTGGTAGGAGGTGGTACGTTTGTTTCTACTGGGAATTTGATTGTTTGATGTGGCTACTAGATGAGAGTAGGGAAACAGGAAGAAATGAGACTCCAAAAATGATTTGCATATGTGTCATAACTAAGAATTTGGAGACTAAGAATTTGAAGAGGATTTTGCAGAATGGCTGAGCTCACAGTTTAGGAATGTTAATGACAGAGTGGCATGCTTGAGCCATTGCTCTTGAAGGAAGGGAGGGTGGCAGGGAAGAATTTGAGGCCACGTGAGCAGTTGACAGGTTAGGTGAGCAGGCCTTGAGTTGGCCTGCTTATCCTTTAAGTCTTAAGGCTCTGTTACCATGTTTATCCCTGCCACTTGGTTAACTCTTCCTTCTCTGAGTTTTTGTATCACACTCTGCCTATTGGTGTCACTGTATTTAGGAATACTTTAAAAATTTAAAGCCAGGCATGTGGCACACACCTACAATCCCAGCATTCAGAAAGCTGAGGCAGGAGAATTACTGTGAATTTAGTACTAGCCTGGGCTATATAGAGAGACCCTGTCTCAAAAAACAAAACGAAAAATCCATATATACATATATTTTACATATGTGTGTGTTTTATGTTATATATATATATGTAAGTATAGTTTGTCTTTTTGAGACAGAGTCTTGCTGTGCAGTTCAGGCTGGCATTCAGCTCACTTTGTATCCCAGGCTGGTCTCAAACTCGCAGTGATCCTCCTGCCTCAGCCTCCCAAGTGCTGGGATTGCAGATGTGCACCACCATGCCTGGTTTATATATATATATTTTTATACATATTTATATATGTATATATATATCCAAAGTTGGATCACATCAACATTCATAAATTGTATTTTTTGGACAAAAAAATGAATTGTTATCTAGCTTAGAATGAATCCTAATCTTTTTTTAAAGTGGTGGTCACATTTTAATGTCTATTTCATTAATTGATGTTATAGAATAACTATGAATAAATATCTAGAAAATCAATATGCTATACTCTAAGTGATTTGTAAAGAACGGGTGTGATTTATGATGCAACTATTTCTTCTTTTTATGGTGGTAAGGTTTTACATTTATTTTTATTTATTTTTGGTGCCAGGGATTGAACTCATGACTTTGCGCTTGCCAGGCAGGTGCTTATGTCACTGAACTAATCCCTGGCCCCGGTTTTACATTTATTGAAGGTGGGAAAAGGCTCTGCAAAGCGAGTTTGGGCCACGTAAAACTAGGAAACGCAGTGCAGTCTACAGGGTGAGCAGGTCCACAGTGAGAGCACAGCGGCCGGAGCTGTTCCTTGGGAAGTACACGTGTGAAGCAGGGCAGTCAGGGGACTGGGGCAAGAGGACCAAGAGCCCCGGGACAGCCTGGGCGGCACAGTAAGAGCTTACCTGAAAACATCCCCTGGAAAAGCTCGAGGACCCAAAATTGTTCTTTTAACAGATAGATTCATTTTCTGAGCCCGGTAAAATAGGAAGAAACCAGTTCTGTGCTTTGTGTTTCAGGTGGTCTCTCCCAGCTGTAATGATGACATCACAGTGAAAAAGGACCAGTGCTTGGTTCGATCTTTCATTGACTCTAAATTGTGAGTAATGAATCACTTAATGCTATGTGAAAGGAATAAAAGTGGAATCACAATGACAAACCCCCACCACCAAGACTTTCTTTTTTAAAAGTCTAATCATTTAGGAACTTGAGAAGATGATATCTAACATGTTTTGACATTTTGTAATCTAGGCTGTTTTTTACTGATAAACTTTATATAAAAACTGAACAATACACAAAAACAATATTTAAACCACATTCGCTTGTTTTTTAAATGAAATGTAGTATCGAATTTTTCTTTAATTACAGAATTTGTTTTTATGAGTACCATTATGAATTAAAGAATTTATTTTAAATAGGATTATATAACTAGAGTAATTATCTTGCTTTTTTTTGTTTTATCAAAATCCTGACTTTCAGAAACTTTTCCCCAATATCGTGTTTGTTTAAAAAAAGGTAAAAGCCAGGCATGATAGTGCCCACTGTAATCCCAGCACTAAGGAGGCTGAGGCAGAAGAATCACTGGTAATTTGAGGCCAGCCTGGGCTACAGAGTGAGTTCAAGACCAGCCTGAAATACATAGTGACACCCTGTCTCAGAAAAGAACAAAGTAAAATTAGGGCTGAGCTGTCACCTAGTGGTAGGAGCCCTTCCCTAAGCCTGTACAAGGTCCTAGGTTTGATCCCTAATATACGCTCTTCTCCAAAAAAGTAAAACGAAATACATACATTCATTTAGCAAGGTGTATGATTCACTGTAAAAATTAATACCATGATATACCTTATAATGGTAAAAGGATTTTAATACTGGGTTACAATAAATATTTTTTTAAACTAAAATTAGTAAAAGTTAAGAAATATTGAGCATTAAAATAAACACTGTTGACCCGGGTGAAGTGGTGCATGCCTGTCATTCCAGTACTTAGTAGGCTGAGCTAGCAAGATCCCCCATGAGTTCAAGGGCAGCCTTGGCTACATAGTGAGTTTGAGGCCAGCCTGAACTACTTAGCAAGACCCTTTCTCAAAGGAAAAAAAAAACATTTTTGTCTACAAGTGTTAAAAACATCATGCTGATTGAAATTACCCCACCTCTCTACAGGAGGTTGAATTCGGAATGCAATGAAGTATACTTCAAGCTCTCAAAATTTAATGTCCTTTGAATATCTAAAATTTTAGGATTAAGTTACTGCCTTTTCCTCTATTTTCTCTAACCCTTTACTAAGAAATCAGATAGGTGTTGTCTTAGACAGCTAATTGGTAAATTAATTTTTAAGTTTTGAAGTTCTTATGTTTCATGGATTAACATGGACTACTTAAGTACTGATTTTTGTTTAGTAAGTCGTTTTCTTCCCCTTTTATTCTCTCTAATTAGTTATGCTATAACAAGGAAGGATATTAAGGAAATAGACATTCTCAGTCTGCCGGAATCTGAGCTTTCTACTAAACCAGGTAAAACAAAGACAAATCAATCTATTATTTCATAAATTAGCTCATAACAAACAGCAGTGAGTGAAATGAGCCCTAGTATTTTCTGATGCCATTTTAGCTAGTGGGCCTAACCACTCCTATTTGGTGGAGCTTTGTTTTTTACTGTAGATAAAATATTTGATTTGTAATTTATAATTTTAACTTTTTGTGTTGTATCATTACTATTTTTCTAACAGTTTTCCTAACATTTATGCAACAGTGTGACATGTAAAATATGTTCACACTTCCTGTATCATTTTATAAGTGGTAGTTGGATTTGAATTCAGATCTTTTGACTCTTTGAGGATCATCCATCATCCAGTTCTGTGCTGCTAATTCCATAGCAATTGCTGAAATACATTTTCGCTCTTAGGGCTGCAAAAAGCAAGTATCTTCTTAAAAGCTAGAGTTGTTCCTGACATTTGGAAAATGGATCTAAGTGAAATCCTCGAGTCATCCAGTAGCGATGATGAAGATGGCCCAGCTGAGGAAAATGAGGAGGAGAAGAAAAAGGAGACCAAAAAGGAAGAAGAGGAGGTGGTAAGTATCATTTTATGTTTGTAACAAACAAACATTTTAATACTCTTTCGTACAAATAACTTTCATATGTTTTCTATCTGTTGAGATTCTCAGTTTGTTTTTTCATTTCTGAGTTGGAGGTTGACTCTGTTTTTGCTCTTAGCCTAGTGTGTTGGTCAGGACTGATGTGTGGTCAGGAAGAAGTGACAGAGGTGCTGGGGGTGGATGGAGCTCATGGTGCAGCTCCGGCCTCAAATATGCAAAGTCCTAGATTCAACCCCTTCCCCAAAAAGGAAGACAAAATTACAAAGAAGTACTTTCCATTAGTCAACAAATGTAAATTGGTATTTTTAGGGTCTTTTTCAAGATACCAAGAAAGAAAAAAATGGAACATTTAGGTATTTTATGTGTGTGTTAACTTGTTTATACTATTACTACATGAAGTAACTGTTAATATCATACTTTAAAGATGAAGTCAGTGGGATTCAGAAAGGTTAAATAACTTTTCCAAAACAACCCAACTGAAAGGTGGAGAATGGGTGTGAACCCCCATCCTAGTTTCTCTTAACTTCAAAACCTTTTTTGAAGGTAAAAATTCCTATCTAAACTTGAAGAAAATTTAATTTGGTAAATGTAGAAAAGATTTAGATTGTATAAGTGCAAATCATTGTCTTTGTAATACTGCCATGTCATTTAAAATACAATCATAAGAAATAACCTGTGAACTACACAGTATTATCTGTTTATTCAATAGCACTTAAAAAATTTCCCAGTATATTTTTTGGGTTGGAGGTTTGGGAAAAAACAAAGAAAATGTACTGAGAAAAAGAATCTATTTGAGCATGAAAAATAATTGTGTGTAAAAAATTTCAAATCCTTGTTCTCTTTTATATAACAAATGTGAATTTATGAAAAACCGCAAGTGTACTTGTATGTGGAAAAGGATAGACACTATTTCTTTCCTCTTACTTCCCCTGCAGTATTTGGTGTTTTACACTCTGAAATCAGAATGGCGGTTCATACTTACAGGCTGCCTACAGAGTTGCCATAGTAACGTGCTGTTGGTTTTAAGTGAGCATGCTCGGAAAGACAGGAAGGTTTAGCAGAGGCTTGGCAGGTTGCCAGTGGAGGTTTGCCAGATGCTTTGAAATGGGCTGTCTTTCTTTTCCTTTCATGTAATGTCTGATTTTTATGTGGAAGAGAATGTAAGTAGTGCTGTAGAACCCTGCGGATGCTATGCCCTAAGACGGGAAGCAAATATTTGCAAGTCAGACTGAACAGTGTCCAGACCCTGATTAAGTAGAAGGGGATTCTAACCATTTTGCATTTGAAAGAAAATGCAGCATATAGGTAAGAATTTTGTGTGCATATACCTTCATTACCATTTTGATTGCCAAAATGAGGTTAAGTAGGAATCTTAGGTATCGATGATATGGCTTTATGGTAGTCCTTAAACCAAGTATAATTGTTTCTTGTAAAAAAAGACAGTGGAAATCTATTTTTAGACTATCAGAGGATGAAGGCTATTTTTTTTCTTTTGAATCATGACATAAATTTTGGAATGAAAATGATAATGGCAAATTCAGGATTTAAGGCTGAATATTAAATGTAATTTTTGTATTTTATGTGTTTATTTATAGATGATGTATTTTCAGGCTAAATAGGCCACATTTTTCAGGATCTAAACTGTTGTCTTCTGTGATTTAGCTCTTGTTCTTTAAATGAATATTAGTTAGAATCTTACATTGCCAAATACTGAAAACAGATTAACTATTTAATGTTGCTAATACTTTTAATTGGTGTCCCTTCCAGAATGCCTTTCCCTACCCTTCCCAAACCCTGAAATTTTAAACAAAGAGGGTGAAAAGAGCTTTGTAGGAAGTTACAGAGTGTGGCTATAAAACAGTTATTAATGCTCCTGTTACAGTTATTAATTTTGTAATATTATAATGTTTTATGTAAGCTATGAGTAAACATTAATAAAAAACAATGAAGAGCAGAGGCAAAACTCTATTACCTATTGTTTGTAGGAAATAGTAAAAGATATTTTAAAGGGTAAAGACATAAAGATATTGTCTAAAAATGTGTCACTTAAATTATGAATGTAGAAATTAAATGAAACAGATGCTTCTCATCTACTGAAAAATAACAGTAAAAATTACAGCATTTAAATACTGCTTTACATGATTATTTTAAATTATTTTTCAGATGGCCAGTTTCATAGCATATGCTGTATTGTGAGTTCCTTGATACTAAATAGTTCGTCCATTCCTCTGGCCATCCATGTAATATTTCCTTGAGTGAGATTTTGGTTGCTTTAGAAAAGAGTCAGCCGCATTTCTTGCTTTTGGATTTAAGATTTAGTTGCTGAATCATTCTAACTTGTCTTGATCAGTAATGTTTTAAAAACTAACATATCGATAAACTGAAGAACACTTTCATCTGTGTGCAGCAGAGGTAAAGATGAGTGGAACATGAATGAATAATCTGATAAGCCAGGGCCTGCCTGGCTTAGTCATTCCAGGCCTGTGCCACAGAAGTGAGGCTGAGCTGTTGTGTTGTGTTACGGATCCCAGGTCTCCCCAAATGCAGTGATGATACAGATTACAGGCAGATTCATTTGTTGCTTCATAATGTTCAAAATGCCCTTTTATAATTTTCTCTGAGCCATTAGGAAGATGCTGCAGCTTGCCCTTCAGTGTGGCAGCACAGCAAGCAGTTCCGTGCAGTTGGCTCACACAAGTGTTAGACGGCTCTGCAGTGGCGGTTCTGCCTGCCGCTTCGGGTTCACTAATGTGGGGAAGAATAACAAGGACATTGGAGATTATGACTTCTCATGCAGTGGCATCTTTTTTTTTTTTAACTTAGTTTTATTTTGAATTCTGAAGCATTTGGTAATTCAGGATATGAGTACAAGAAATACATCTCACACTTTTACAGCTTGGGAAAAGATATGAGGAGCTGACAGAAGCTAGGTCTTATTTATATTGATTGCTTTAAATTTTGACTTATTGATATGTTGAAAAAGGCCCTGTAGAATGTATTTATGATATTATTTCAGTGTATCAGCTATAAAAAGTTCATGTTAAAAAATGTTACTGCATTTTTTTATTGAAAAGGCCAGGTAAACACAAATAATAATGCCAATTATTCATTTATTTCTGGCATATATTTACTTTGGATAAATATAGTGGAGTTTTTAAAATAAATGGATGCTTATTTAAATTGACTATGAATAGGAATTTGACTAGTCTTAGCTGTTTAAATTCTTATGTTTTGCTATAAGTAGACTTATGTGTTGAGTACTTTAAAGAATCTCTTGGGCTAGCTCAGCAGCATAAGCAGCTGCCTGGCAAGCACAAGGTCCTGAGTTTGATTCCTGGTACCAAAAAAAAAATCTCTTATAATTTCATATTTAATAATGAAAGTTAGAAATTAGTGAAATTTTTACAAACCACGTTCTTTTTTGTGTAGAGGTACTGACATCGATTTTTCTAATCTTACAAAATTTTCTAGGGCATCACTATTTAATTTGATGCCTAAGATTAGATTTCACAATCATAAAAATTGTAAGTGCTTGACTTTTTTAATTCATGGAAACAATGAATATTCTGTTTTAGCTGGGCAGTGTGGTATACAATGGCTGAGGCATGATGAACACTGGAGTTTGAGGCCAGCTTGAACTAAATGGTACAACCCTGTCTCAAACCCAAAAAAAAAAAGTTTTTTTAATTTTAAACCAGTGTTATTTTTGCCTACTAATCTGTGCCTTTTTTATGGATTGGTTAGTAATCATCCAAGCTTTGGATATAAAAACCTACAGTAAATAGTTGATAATGCAGGAAAACCAGGCGAAGTCAGTAAAATTAAAGATTTTTAATATAATGTAAGTAGTTTAGTTATATCTAATAACTTTAAGTGACACTCAAGTTTCTGTGCAGATCCGGAAAAGTCAACCTTCAATGAATGGTTGAGACCTTAGCTTGCATTCAATTATAACAACTTACATTCTGTTTTCTCCTGTTTTGCATTGCTGGGGATTTAAGCCAAAGTTTTGCACATCTAGGCAAGCTCTTAGCTATTCCTCTAGGCCATCACTTGCTATACTATTACAAGTTAGCCTTTCCCAGCAAACTCTTCACCATGTTAGCATGAAACTTTAACAAAGTAATATAATCTGATTAACAAGGATTGCACATTTATACACACAAATACAGCTACATTTTTATATATTTGAATAACACTTTTTAGTAATGTATTTTGTAGTTGTTGTGGTATGAAAGGGTTGTCTGATCCTGAAAACTTGGATTCAGTAACACCCAAATCTCATCTAGGTGATTCAAGTGTGTGTATTGTTCATATGAGGGAAAATTACTAAGCTCATTGACCTCTGAACCAGAAAAGAGTCACAAAATCATTTATTTCAGGAAAGGTGTTAAATGTAAAACAGTGTCTTCCTACTTCTTATGTGATCCCTGAAATTTTCTCTAAGTGTGTAACAGAGAAGAGGGAAACACTCTAAATTTTATGATTACCAATTTGATAGGGTCTTTGGTCAGTTCACAGCTTCCGTGATCAAGTATTATCTCTTCCATTACACCAACAACCCCTAGCCCAGCTACTCCAGCTTCAGAAATGGGTGGAGGTGTCTCAGCCATGCCTGCCCACCGTGCTGTTAATGGTGTGTTGTCCTCCTCGATGAAGCAGACCCTTCCGTTCTCCCATGGGTCTCATTCCTGTTCTTATTTCAGGAAATCTGAGGCTGTCAACTCTTTCCATTTCTTTCCTGCAAATTTAAACTACTCCTGTCTATTGGCTGCGTCTCTTCAGCATCTCTCTCCCCTTTGGTGGTCCTGGGGATCATAGCCAGGGGTGCTGTGCCGGAGCCACATCTGCAGCCCTTTATTCTGAGACAGATTACTAAGTCGCCCAGGTTGTACTCAAACTTGTAATCCTCCTGATTTTGGCTCTCCTGGTAGCTGGGACTGCAGGCATGTGCCACCCATCTGGCTTCCCATCAG